GGGGGGGCTGCCTTCGGCAACCCCATGTCGGGGCTTACACATGGTAAAGGGGCTAGCTACTGGTTGTCTTATTTAATATGCGCAAGTACGTACGATCCACCCCTCTGTGCCCTCACATTTACTTGTGCTAGGAACTATTTCTCTCGTGCAGCTGTTGTATCATTTATTTGATATCAAATGAAAATATATATACATCATTCAACGTATTAATTGGCACCGGATGTTAACCCCATGATACCGGAAGTACACTTGAGTGATACATAACCCCTACGAGTCGTACATACATATCTGTCATATACATATAACTAGCTATCTGTTTCTTACATCTCCACGTAAGCTTCAACACTGCTTTGTAATTAGAGCACAGATCCCTGCCTATGGTCCTGAGATAAAAAAAAATATATATAGCCTACCCCAAGTGTAATAGCCTTCTTCTTCAACAGGGAAATTAGCTCTCCGAATGAACTTCTCAACATTATTTGATTTATTCCAATCGGAGAGATATATCAAAATCTAATATAAATATAATTCATAATGTATCAAATTTTTATGAAGAATATTATCCCAGAAATGTCTAACTTAGACTATGTGTTTCCCTATGGCGTCAGCAAATGTGAATGACGTTTAAGTTCAATATAATAACAAATGTGTATGACGTTGGATTTCACTATGATGACAAATGTGTATGACGTTGGAGTTCACTATAATAACAAATGTGTATGATGTTGGAGTTCAAAATAACGACAAATGTTTATGACGTTGGAGATCACTATAATGACAAATGTTTATGACGTTGGAGTTCACTATGATAACAAATGTTTATGACGTTGGANTTTTTTTATCAAAAAATATTATTGGAACCGGCCGTCGTCCTATAAACTTGTACAGTTGCTAGCAGTTCGTAATAGGAAAGAACTTTGTCATTTAGGTAAATATTTACAATCAAGTTTACTATTACGCTCGACATAATGTGCATTGTTTAATTATCATGTGCATGCTTTTTCTTTTTATCTCCAGATAAAAACTGATTACTTCTTACTTCATTTGATTGAGATTCTTCCAATCTTTCAATCATGTACATTACTTCAATTAATCATCTCATTAATATTTTTCTTTTGTCATTTGTATTCTCATGTGCGTACAACTGTCCGCCATCTATCAAATCAGCTTGTCTTGTACAATGTAGGTTATGTTACATGTTNGATGACAAATGTGTATGACGTTGGATTTCACTATAATAACAAATGTGTATGACGTTGGAGATCACTATAATGACAAATGTTTATGACGTTGGAGTTCACTATAATAACAAATGTGTATGACGTTGGAGTTCAGTATACTAACAAATATGTATGACGTTGGATTTCACTATAATAACAAATGTGTATGACGTTGGAGTTTACTATGATAACAAATATGTATGACGTTAGAGTTCACTATGATAACAAATATGTGTGACATTGAAGTTCGCTAGATTATAACAAACATGTATGATGTTTGAGTTCACTATGATAACAAATATGTGTGACGTTGAAGTTCGCTAGATTATAACAAATATGAATGACGTTGGAGTTCACTATGATAATAAATATGTATGACGTTGAAGTTCGCTAGATAAACACAAATATATGTATGACGCTGAAGTTCGCTAGATTACAACAAATATGTATGANACTGAAAGTGAATAAACAATACAATACAATACAATACCCTAACCGACCCAGTTTCTCCAAATGTCACGGATAATTTATGGACAAAAGGAGGGAGTAAATTGCTGTCTGTTTTCATAGTGTCACTGCGTTTTGTGATAAGTTGACATAAGATGTAAACAACACGGAGGGAAACGATACAATAATGCACAGTTTGTGAAATATACTAACACACTTACTATATGGAGTATCGGCCAATGAGGAGGGGCGATGAGTTATACACATGTAAACGAATTTAAATGAGAAATGGCAAACCAAAGTGCTCCCGTTTATAAATTTACCAACTGTATGCAATAAAAAGCACTAAATGTTTGGACATTTTGGTGCTAATCAATAACAAATAATGGATCAATAACTTCTTTGAGTAGATCTTCATATCTGCCTTGTTAGTTATGTCAAGTTCGCGATACTTACGTAATGTAGGCTTCCCGTTGATCGGTAGGAATTGGCTATCATATATCGGGGAAGAACTAATGAGAACAGAAAGATAACTCCTGGTAACTGATACACCCGGCGTTTTGGTAACCGTGCGCATGGTTTAGTAATCCGTGCGCACGGTTTCGTAATCCGTGCGCACGGTTTAGTAATCCGTGCGCACGGTTTAGTAATCCGTGTGCACGGTTTGGTAATCCGTGTGCACGGTTTGGTTATTCGTGTGCACGGTTTAATAATCCGTGTGCACGGTTTGTCAATCCGTGTGCACGGTTTGGTAATCCGTGCGCACGGTTTAGTAATCCGTGCGCACGGTTTGTCAATCCGTGTGCACGGTTTGGTAATCCGTGCGCACGGTTTAATAATCTGTGTGCACGGTTTGTTAATCCGTGCGCACGGTTTAGTAAATGTTTTACCATGTCCCTTCGGGGGCTCCGTAGAAAGCTGATAGATTTCACAAGAGAAGTGGAAGAAATAATTGACCAAATTAACTCGTAATTAGGAAACGTTATTCCGTAATTACGTCATAAAAAACATAGTCATCTCGTAGTTATGAGATCTTTGTTTTGTATGAATTGGGCATTTTCTTGTATAAAATGGGTATAAATACTTAAAGTACAATATAATTAAGGCAAATTTATCTAGACACAATTGAAAATATGATCTCAGTCAAGTGTCTGTAAGCTGTCCGTGGGCCATGCAGTGTACATGCGTGCATTCAGAACAAGTCTTCTTGACAGAGGTAACGAAAGGTTATATCGTTCGTCTCGAGCTCGACATAGAGATCAATTAAATACATTATTATGATGACTTATTTGGCGCACAAGTATCGTTGAGCGCATTATTTATCTAGATTTTACGTTTTTTTTAACATAGCTGCATTAACACGAGTAAGAATGATATGTTGCAACCACGGACTTAGATAACAAGATAATCTAATTCCGTGGTTGCAACCTGTCATAAGCTTACCTATATTTATCAAGACAAAAAAGATGATGTTTAATGTTAAGGGTACGTCAACCAATACCTGGACTGTTAATAAGGATAAAAGAAGTTAGCGAGATATTTTTTTTGATCACGGTAGGTCCTATCATATGGCCAAATGCATCAAAAGATGAAACTCAGGTCTGTGGCCAGACCGGTTCGCCTATTTTGGAACCATTCCAGGGTTATCCCTGAAAATGGTTCCATCCAAAATGAGACGAGATACTAACATGTACACTGAGATACAGTGGCGGATCCAGATACCTATCGTGTGAGGTTTCCAAATTTCCAGGGTGTGTGTGTGTTCCATGTGTGGAAAATTGAGGAAAATTGTGAAAATACATGATTTAAAAAAAACATCAGGCTGGGGGGGGGGAGGTTGTAAATGCTAGGTTTTCAGAATGATCAATTAGAGAAGTATAAAATTAGCTTGTAAAGCAACGTATGTCCCTGTTTGAAACGCGATCATAGTAGGGGAGGTAACTCTGATCAAAGCTGATGGAACTCTCCTTTACGGAGGTAAATTTTACTTCCTGGAAAAGTATCGCGGACAGTTTGGAGTGACAGGTAAAAAATGTGATAATTTGCACGATTTGGGTTAGAATTTGAGTTTACTTTATTTCAGAAAACAAATTTATATATTGGCGTTATGGTTCAAACTAAAAATGATATATTTGAGGATGATTTTTTAAAAATGTCTTACCTGTTTTTGGACAGTTGACATTCGTCCCAAGACAAAATAAGTGTATGGGTGTGGTCAACGATCGTGAACAAGTGTTGATTTTTCTGCCAAAAATAGGATATCGATTAAGTTCAGACTTTTCAATGGACTCTTGCGGATCAAATAGTTAATAGGTATCAAGCTAGCATAATAAAGATCCTATATGCTCAGGTAGAACACTGCTACCACTAGTACTGTGAATAGAATGCATAGATATTCCACTCGTACATCAGAAGATAAACATATCATTTCAATCTAAGGTAGAAAATTCGCCAAAGATAATAAACTAATCCCATTTAAGACGTGTATTTAAAACAATTATGAATGTATTTACAACAAGTATGAGTGAAGTATTGAAATTATGCCTAAATGTGAATCACCAAATGGGAGAAAAGTACTCGGAACTACTAGTCCTTCTCTTTGTTGGACAGGAAGTAAAACCTCTTTTAATGAAGGGCCCACAGTTGAGATGTGGCCAATATATGCCACTTCATGCAAATGAAGTCAGTGAAGTAATGAAACAAAATTTTGTCAATCTCTTATAAAAAATGCTTTTGTAATTTTCTGTCGAGAGGATAAATATCAACTCACAGCAAACACAATTCATGGCAAAGGTACAGAGAAATGACCCAGATAATCATTTAACATCCATGTCATACTGTCAAGTGTGTCTTCATAATGTTTTTTGTTCCTCTCTTTCTCTGTCTTTAGACAATTATTGCAGATTCTACAAAAATCAGAGCAACTACTCTTATCTTTAATATTTTATTTCAGTGCCAGCAGATCAGTTGTCCAAAGCTCACTTCAACGATGTAACCAACCGAACTAGTGAAGTTTATGTCCTATAAAGGGGGATAATTCTGTTGACTACTGAGTACGGATCCTGATAATGACAATGGGGGACAGCAACAAAGCGCTGTATGCCAAAATGATAGTGGATGTGGTCATTGGACCCGTGTTGGAGAGGGTATGTCATTGAGTCTGCATTTATCATATTTTGAGCAAATTTAATAGCCAGGAAGTTTTAAATAATTTTTCTATTCCAAAAGTCATTCCGTGTGAATTATTCAATAACCAGAAATTTGACTGGAATAGATAACTGAAATAATGTTCTTCTAAAATTGTACTGAAGACTTGATTCCCAATCTTCAGAATATATTCTCACAATAGCCAAGCTCAAAACTAGTTCAATTCAATGAGCTGGTTCCTTTAGAAACCAAATTGCACCTTATTCCAAAAGGTACTTTTTGGGCAGAACAATAAAGAATAGAATATAGGTACAGCAGTAGGATGATTTTGGTTAAAACTGTTGACCTTTTAATTGGAAATTGATGGAGATATTTGTGTTATGATTGTTACAGCTGGAGAAGAAAGACATATCAGTAGCCCAGACACTGAGAGCTGCGTTTGCTAAGGTGAGTCATTACACCTGTATTTACAGTAACAATTAAAGTAGGTGAGTGGGTGGCGCAGTGCATATTATAGTTAACTTTCACAAAGATGGCTGGGGTCAGACTCCCTTATGGGACATGAAAAAGTGTTGGGTCACCTGCTTGATCACATACTATAATTCTTTAATTGTTTTCACAAACAGCCATTGGCTATGCGTTGAACTACTAACACATAAATATTTAATATGACAATTATCCATGGACATCAATTTCCACAATATTCACCGATCATGACCACATAGGGTTTTCTACTGGTACACATTAATTAAGACACTCTGTGGGCCTCCATCAGAGCCACACAAGAGTGATTGATATGATTTAAAAAAAAAATGTTGCAAAAAGGAATAAAACTTGTGTATATAACAAAGGTTTTTTTGTCAGGTTTGATGCCAAAAATTCCATGGGAAATAAAAACTGTTTATGCTGCATATGGCATTTAAATGTAAATAGCTTTGCTAAATACATGATTTCAGGTCTTTTAAATGCGATATAGATAAAATAATTATCCTTTGGTAGGTTGAGTAGAAATCCCAATGCATGTATTTACTTAGTAAGAAACTGTGTTATTTTGACATGTTTATTACTAATAAAATAAAATATCTAGTTTGTCATTTGGACTTGATCAGAAGTAATAAGGTAACAACACATTTGCAAAACATGCATGTGATAGATAAATACCTACTGTCACTTTAGATCCAAGCTTTTGTATCTCTTCATCAGGGCTTTGACCCTGTTTTCAAATATTGATGTGAGGACCATCTATTCCCTGATGAAGGGCTAAACCGAAAGTTCGAAAGTTTAGATCTAGAGTGACTGTCGATATATATTTTATTACGTTCCCTGTAGGTACATTGTATTACACATTCAGTTATAAGATTGTAATGTTAAACTGTTATTGCGTGTTTCAGTGTGACAATGCGCTACCAGGCTTTACATACGACTATATGAGGGGGATGCTACGGAAGGGAGACATCCATGACAGATTTGACATGTGTGCCACGCTCCTGTACCTGGGAGGCTCCCAAGATTCAGAGGGTAAATGATCTCACAGAATAGTAAAATCTATAACTTGTGGCTAAGTGAGATCAGGTTATCTTGGTCGAGGGGTTAGATTCTGTAACATAACCCAAGCCAACACTCCATTCCAGGTTGGAATGTTACAGACTGATATAACCTGATCTCCTTCAGTTACAGGACATTTTTTTCTTTCATCAACTTTTTACTTTGTTTGTTTTTGGGGTCCTGTGAGTTGCTGATTTCATCTTTTAATATTCCTCATTTTTTGTCTAGAACATGTGGAATTTTATAATAAACCTTTCGCTTTCAGTTCTAGTATTTTTTTCCTTCCAGAATTAAAGATTAACCGCCCAGAGCCAACATTCCAGGAGCTTAGTAAATGTGCCACAGCCCTGAAGAAAATCCTAAGCCGCATTCCAGAACAGATTTACAACAGGAAGCAGTTCCTGGAGACCATTAAGTATGCTGGACGTGGCCCAAGTCATAAGAAAATGAACAAAAACAATTACATTTGTCCAGAAAGACATCGTCTGAACACAATATTTTAAGTAACAGTATGGCTCAAGTCATGTTAAATTCCATAAAACAGATCATTTTGTCCAAAAAGTTGAATACAATATTTTATGTAACAGTTACAGAAATATTATGTCTTAAAGAAAGCATATCTAGCAGGATAAAACATGTTCTCAACCAGGCAGAAAGATAATACATTTTATGGAAACCAAGCTTCAGGATTTACTGTCTTGATTGAATAACCTTTTTTGAAATTGATGTTTTGTTTTCAAGTTTTCTTTGAATTCCTTTATTTAAACTTCTAGAATAATATTACATGTAATTTGCCAAATTTAGCAAGGGACATTAAATAAATGTTATTTTCTGAAAAGGCTGGTTTTATGAAATAGTCCAACTTGTGTGTGAATTGTGTCTTACTGAATGAAATATTTTTGACCTGTTCCATGGACAACCAGACATTTTATATAGATACACAGTTCTCCAAGTTTGTTATAGTGATGTTAACAGTTGATCGTTTACTTGCAGGGAAATAGCAAGTGCTATAAAACGTCTACTGGATGCTGTCAACAGAGTGATAGCAGAGGTCCCTTCCACAGATAATGGCAGCAAGCAGGTACAGGGTCAAGGTCACCCTTCAAGGTTGTAAGGGTCATGGTGGATTACTATTAACTTTTATGTTTGGATTTTTTTTGAGAATAAGATATATATTAAAATTAAAGATTATCGTAGCCTGAATCTGTTGAACCTTTTTATGCAGAAATTATATTTATATGGGAATTATAGGAATTCTATTTGGATACATGTACTTTTCACTGCAGTTAATTTTTGCCCTTTTCACTTCCTCTGTATTGAGGGTGGCAGCACATGTCACTGTACAGCTGTGTTCTTTTGGTGTGCAGTATATGTTCATTGTCTTTCAATTTTTATTCAAAGAGCAACAGAAGTACAGCAGTTCTGTAAACAAATTCTGCAATAAGTCGTTTTTCAGATCAAAGAAACAGAAACTTTACTTAGTTTTGGTGATATGAATAAAAATTTAAAATTTTCTTTCTAAATTCAAGAAATTCTACTTTATGCTATGACAAAAGAAGTATTGACGTTAGGATTGTCCACGTTATGACTTGTTATTTTTTAATTCATATATTTTTCAGATTTTGGAAGAAAGAAAGAAGGAGTTTGTAAGATATTCCAAGAGGTTCAGCAACACGTTAAAAGATTTCTTCAGGGACAATAACCAGTAAGTAGTCATACATGTCAGTCTAAGTTGTCTGCTGGTTGTAATCGTATTATATCAAATTATCAGTTTCCATTTAATATGCAATATGTGTTGCTTGTCAATCTTTCTGACTTTAATATTACCATGGATACTTCCTGTTTTCCAAAGTACACTATTTTGACATAAGTAGATAGAGCACTGATTTGTTTTATAATTTTAGATATGCATTAATTTTTAAATTTCAACTAACAAAGATATAACATAAAAAAAATAGCACAGCATGATCATTTCTTACTCCATAATTTGCAACACTGAAATTAAAAATCAAAACCTAGGATCTTCATGGTTTAACCCTGTTATTAAGTTTTACTAGCCTGTAAGCATCGTCACCAACAGACTTTATTAGCCAGTTTATTGATTAAAACAGTCATCTTTACATGGCTAACAGTAACTGTTTAATCAAATAGGATTGACTTCTTACCCGTGATATACTTCCTTGAATTTAAGGGGAATTTATTTAGTCTTTGGTATTTTCCCAAATTATCTGTTATGCCAATCTGTTATCAATCATTCAGTTAATTTATCAAATGTGACCAATGACCGATACAAAACACCCACCGAGTGTGGGATTTCATTGCTTCTACAACCTATTCATCAACTTCAAAATGTTAAACTTGAGGGGTTAACCCATTCTCCCCCAAAGTCGCATTTGAACCTTACCAAATCAATGAATGGGCAAGTCCAGTTTAGATATGTAGGGGTGAATGAGTTAAAGTCTATAGTGGACATGTAAAAAGTCTGTTCTTAATTTATAAAAGAAACTCTCTATAGTTCATTTGGAATGTGAAAAACCCAAGGAGATTGACCAATGTTGACTAGTGAAGGTGGTAAGTAGGGTTACATTCGTGTATCCCGGTTGAAACGGTTCAGGTGGCACAGAAATATTCCACGAACAACGAACATACGTGGACCGTTCTATAGGCAGATAAGTAACCGGAGGATAGATAACAATGTATTGAGAACATTATGCCCTTCTTTCACATGTCCACTGAATTACATAATGTATATTAAAAACTATATTTGGCTTGACATTGTTTTAGAAAGAAATAACGCAAACTAGCAATTGTCAGCATTTTAGTTTTAGTCAGGTACGTTGACGTCTTGACCCCTCAATCTACACATGCTGAATATTCCTGAGGTCAGCCTCGGTTCAGATCTGCGCCTGTCGTTTTCTTTCAGGTTCAACCGTTTCACCTGGTTGAACTGGATACGTGAAAGGGGCCTTGGTCTGGAGGTTAGAGGAAGGGAGATAACTCTTGTGATTTCAGTAATTGAGAATTTAACATGAGTAGTAAACATTCACAGCATGCAATAAGGCAATGAGTATATTGATTAGGTGAAAAGGTATTAAAATAACCAACTTGACCAATAATGAGGTGTAAATATAACAATTTACTCCCTTACCACAGGCATTTTCAGGGTAAAATTTGCTAACTAATTGAAATAAAGTGAATGTGTGTTTCATTACCGATTTAATAATAAAAAAGATTTATATGTCTCCATTATTGTCTATATACTGTGAGGCCAAACAGTAACAACAATCTCAAAACTCAAACATATTAATTTGGTATATAAAAGAATCGGAGAACGATATGGCTTCTATAAGTCAACATGTTTTGATAATTTCTCAGCTCACGCTTTGAAGAGCAGCATAAATCTGGGCGATTTAACAATCGTTCGCCCCGTTGTGCGCTTCTCTTCTCACAACTGTGCAATTTGGTACAATTTGTTGGTCAATATTATGGAATGAAAAAAATATGGATAGCTCGTATGCAATAATGTACACTATATATTAGTGTAGTTTCTCATCACGATAATTAAGATTATGTACAATTTTTCATAATAATAATACTAAAATATTTTATTTAAGTGTCACACATAGTGTACATAACACATCACTTTTACAATGTGTGTAACACAATAAACGGTGGTCGTTAAGACTGTCAAGAATGGTTTTGGCTCCTAGCTAGGTAACAGAACAGGTAAATAACAATTTGATGAGTGACCAGAGTTTTACCTGGCATGTGTCTGACACGTAGAGCTGCTATGTGATACTGATGACCGTTATGAAAACACAACTGGACGTTTAGTATTTGTTATTTGCATTCGTTTTGGTCTATACATGTGGCTCCCCTTCACCTGGCTTTCACACCTGGGCAAGTTACGTAAATGCCCCAGGCGGGGGAAAACTACGGTCATGATACAAACTGACTATGTTTACCTGTGTTGCCGAGACTGTGGTGTAATTTTTCAATTAAGGTTGTTTTTAAAAACCGAAAACACCATTTCTAAATTTAAGAAAGTATAGACAGAAAGATATATGTAGATGTAGCTAGAATATAGAACAAACTGCGCGCACCGCACATAGTGAAACGTTGTAAGATCCCACCACTGTATTTTGTTCTATTTCAACATTGCTTTTTTTACTTCATGTTTGTCTTGTTCCAGGTGATATCACAAATGTCATTGTTGCATGTTGTCGTAGTTCTTACACTTACAATAATGTTAATAACTGAGGTTAAGTAATCTACAAATACATGTATATCGCATTGGTTTGTTACATTTTTACCAGTGAAATACATTATAAGGTTTTTCTGTGAAAATAAAGTCAATATTTTTCTGTTTCGGGTATAAAATGTTATTCATGTCATAAATGTACCCAGTCGTAAAGATATGAAATATTGTCAGCTATGTTTTGATTGTATGAGTGAACCTATTCCAGGTCATATTATCCCGATGAGCAATTAGTAAAGGTGTCGTATACTGGTTTTACAATGTATGTATCGGAGAGAAGCTTCGTTATGTAAGTCAATCCCTATTTACTGGACATTAACAGTTTGCTGGTGGAAAGGCTCTCGTGAACGGAATCCTTGCTTTTATTATACTACGATATGTTACTTTCTGTAGGGAGATATTAGGTAATTGGAACTGTTTTTGATTTTGAACAGGGTTTTGTCTTCTGTTTATTATATTGTATGATAACGGGGACAGAGCATGTTTTTGATATACCGGTACACAGATTTTTTTTTTTCTTTTTTTTTTCTTTTTTTTTTCATCATTGCTGATTTTCTGAAATTCCTATACAGTATTATGTTTTTTTTTTAACATATATATACTTTTTTTCTGGGTTAGGGAGATAAGTCACAGACGTTTTTATACATCTTTCGTGATAAACAAGAATTTAGTTTTCTGCTTCATTTTATAAAAGAAATCTTTAATTATTTTTTCTTGCATGCAAAATTTCTACTTAAATTCTGATAATATCTGTATATTTGTATATACTGTAATATTAAAGCTATTACGTATTTGCATGCTAAACTAGCTACACTGAACCTGATGTACATAAAAATGGACATTTTATAAGCTTTAGCAGTTCTGATTGGTAGCTGAGACTTTCACAATCAGATCAGCCAGCCCATATTTATTGGGATTTAACAAAATACACAGAGAGGTGCAGTCACAATAAGCCTAGTATCACACAGCATCTCAACTACAATATTTCTCTTACCGGTAAGTGTAAAATCCCAAGGCATATACAGTAAAACCTGCTTAGTCCTAACACAGAGGAGTTAAACGGATACCCTTTCTAAATCCAACAGGAAATACCCCTACTTACTTACCTCCAACAGGAAATACCCCTACTTACTTACCTACAACAGGAAATACCCCTCCTTACTTACCTCCAACAGGAAATACCCCTACTTACTTAACTCCAACAGGAAATAGCCTACTTACTTACCTCCAACAGGAAATACCCTACTTACTTACCTCCAACAGGAAATACCCCTACTTACTTTATTAGGAAGGAAATACCCCTCCTCACTCCTTACTTAACTCCAACAGGGAATACCTCTCCTTACTTAACTCCAACAAGAAATACCCCTCCTTACTTACCTCCAACAGGAAATACCTATCCTTACTTACCTCCAACAGGAGATACCCCTACTTACTTACCTCCAACAGGAAATATCCCTCCTTACTTACCTCCAACAGGAAATACCCCTCCTTATTTACCTCCAACAGGAAATACCCCTACTTACTTACCTCCAACAGGAAATATCCCTCATTACTTACCTCCAACAGGGAATACCCCTCCTTATTTACCTCCAACAGGAAATATCCCTCCTTACCTCCAACAGAAAATATCTCCTATTTACCTCCAACAGGAAATATCCCTCCTTACTTAACTCCAACAGGAAATATCCCTCCTTACTTAACTCCAACAGGAAATACCCCTCCTTAATTAACTCCAACAGGAAATACCCCTACTTACTTACCTCCAACAGGAAATACCCCTACTTACTTACCTGCAACAGGAAATACCCCTCCTTATTTACCTCCAACAGGAAATACCCCCCCTTACTTACCTCCAACAGGAAATACCCCTACTTACTTACCTCCAACAGGAAATACCCCTACTTACTTACCTCCAACAGGAAATACCCCTACTTACTTATCTCCAACAGGAAATACCCCTCCTTACTTATCTCCAACAGGAAATACCCTCCTTACTTACCTGCAACAGGAAATACCCCTACTTACTTAACTCCAACAGGAAATAGCCTACTTACTTACCTCCAACAGGAAATACCCTACTTACTTACCTCCAACAGGAAATACCCCTACTTACTTAACTCCAACAGGAAATACCCCTACTTACTTACCTCCAACAGGAAATACCCCTACTTACTTACCTCCAACAGGAAATACCCCTACTTACTTATCTCCAACAGGAAATACCCTCCTTACTTACCTGCAACAGGAAATACCCCTACTTACTTAACTCCAACAGGAAATAGCCTACTTACTTACCTCCAACAGGAAATACCCTACTTACTTACCTCCAACAGGAAATACCCCTACCTACTTAATTCGGACAGGAAATACTCCTCCTCACTCCTTACTTAACTTCAACAGAGAATACCTCTCCTTACTAACCTCCAACAAGAAATACCCCTCCTTACTTACCTCCAACAGGAAATACCTATCCTTACTTACCTCCAACAGGAAATACCCCTACTTACTTACCTCCAACAGGAAATATCCCTCCTTATCTCCAACAGGAAATATCCCTCCTTACTTAGCTCCAACAGGAAATATCCCTCCTTACTTAACTCCAACAGGAAATACCCCTCCTTAATTAACTCCAACAGGAAATACCCCTACTTACTTACCTCCAACAGGAAATACCTCTACTTACTTACCTGCAACAGGAAAAACCCCTCCTTACTAACCTCCAACAAGAAATACCCCTCCTTACTTACCTCCAACAGGAAATACCTATCCTTACTTACTTCCAACAGGAGATACCCCTACTTACTTACCTCCAACAGGAAATATACCTCCTTACTAACCTCCAACAGGAAATATCCCTCCTTACCTCCAACAGAAAATATTTCCTTACTCACCTCCAACAGGAAATATCCCTCCTTACTTAACTCCAACAGGAAATATCCCTCCTTAATTAACTCCAACAGGAAATACCCCTACTTACTTACCTCCAACAGTAATACCCCTACTTACTTACCTGCAACAGGAAATACCCCTCCTTATTTACCTCCAACAGGAAATACCCCTACTTACTTACCCCCAACAGGAAATACCCCTACTTACTTACCTCCAACAGGAAATACCCTCCTTACTTAACTCCAACAGGAAATACCCCTCTTTACTTAACTCCAACAGGAAATATCCCTCCTTACTTAACTCCAACAGGAAATACCCCTCCTTACTTCCTCCAACAGGAAATACCCCTACTTACTTACCTCCAACAGGAAATACCCCTACTTACTTCCCTCCAACAGGAAATACCCCTACTTACTTACCTCCAACAGGAAATACCCTCCTTACTTAACTCCAACAGGAAATACCCCTCTTTACTTAACTCCAACAGGAAATACCCCTCCTTACTTCCTCCAACAGGAAATACCCCTACTTACTTACCTCCAACAGGAAATACCCTCCTTACTTAACTCCAACAGGAAATACCCCTCCTTACTTAACTCCAACAGGAAATATCCCTCCTTACTTAACTCCATCAGGAAATACCCCTTCTTACTTACCTCCAACAGGAAATACTTCTCCTTATTTATCTCCAACAGGAAATATCCTTCCTTACTCAAAGTACAGGTTAAAAAAGGTTGTAAACAGTAGTTATTTGTATGTCAGGTGTGAAGCTGTCAGATCAAATAAATATTTATTTCACACATTTTTAAAATCAGTATTTTTTGTTTTCAAAGCTCAACAAAAAACCCCGAAAAATTGTTTTACTAAAGATTCAATAAGAAATGTTTTTCAACACAAACACAATTAATGAAAATAAATGTGACCTACAATATTTTGTAATTAAAACCAAAGTGAAACCACTACATTCAAACTGCAATCTACAATACATTGCATCTGAACCACAACAGAATATCAAAACCTGTACCACAACAGAATATCAAAACCTGTACCACAACAGAATATCAAAACCTGTACCACAACAGAATATCAAAACCTGTACCACAACAGAATATCAAAACCTGGTTGAGCCTGAACTGCTAGGTAGACAGTATTATTATGTGGTTCTGTCAAGTTTGATATAAGTGGGTCTATTGTGTGTAATAGTTTAAAAGATGTTGTAGTCAATGTTTTGTGAGACTGGGTTCTGGTCTACTAAATTGAATGATGAAAGCTTTGAATATCAGTTATACATATTATCATTATTCATTTATATAAAAGCATTGCATGCCATATTTAACAGTGTAGTAAGTTGGCTGGCTTTACATTTACAATACAGTATTATGCATGAACTGAAATTAAAGATATATCAATATCAAAAATTGAAAAAAATCATGCTAGTTATCATATCTTACTATTGAGAAAAAATAATTAATTACAGATATATCATAAAATTGAAAGACTTTTTTAATATTTTATACAAGATAATTTTTCAAAAAACCCCAGGAAAACATCTAAAAAATAGTTTCATCACAATGAAATCTCTTGCATCGTGTCACCACATGGTACAGCTGTTAACTAGTGTTTAGGTTAAGGTTGAGGTGAAGGTGGAAGTAATTGAGTTTTATCTTAAAGTTTTCACAGTTGCATAGTTCATTCAGAGTATACACTAGCTGGAATAAGTCAAACTCGGACAAACAAGAAGGTGTTAAGAACTCAAGTTATTAAAACATTATATATTGTGGGAAATGTAGATCTTAATTTTCAGGATGACAACTATTATTCTGAAGTTGACATTGTGTGATACAAAGAATGATTTTTGCTGTATTTTCTCGTCCAATACCACATAAATGGATAGAATTCTGAAAAATAATGTAAATTCCTTATAAGTTAGGGGTGTTCAATTCCACTTGCCAAGTCCCCAGGGCTAGTAGATTTTATTTCTGTATTATTGAACAATTTACAATGAAAATGTTAGTGTGGCAAGTAGATTGATTTCAATATCTGTCTGTGGGCTAGTTATCTTGATATGAAATTGTACACCCCTATATTTAAAATAGAGGGATTTGTGTTTTTACTGAAGATTAATTTGTCAACTTTTTTTTATCTTTTCCACAGAAATCAAAGTGTCTTCATCAGTGCCAACTACCTGATATACCAGACCAACGTCATCCTCAGATGTGTCAAGAATGAATGCTGTTGACCTTGAAACTTAAATAACAGTGTTAAATATATAGAAAATGAAAGTTACAGAGATCATCGTGTTAAATATATAGAAAATGAAAGTTACAGAGATCACCATGTTAAATGTTTGGAAAATGAAAGTTACAGAGATCACCGTGTTAAATGTATGGAAAAAGAAAGTTTCAGACAGCCAGTGTTCCACAGAATGACTTTTAATATCAAAGCTTTATTACTATTGTGTTATATCATTCTCAACTACATTAAGTAAAGATGTGGGCAAAGCTAGGCTTTTCAAGCACATTTGATTGAAACAAGGCTAATGAAACAAAATTGTACTGAAGTTTCAGCAGATGGAAGATTTAGAAAAGTGCTTTGAAAATTCCCTACCATCATGCTGGCTTTTTTTCAGTTCACCAAGGAATTCTATATCTGTGCAACAACATGTATAAACGAACATTACAGAGAGAAAGACTGAATAGTTTTGTTACCTTTTACAGGCTTGAGTTTATGTACATATTTATATTTTTCACACAGATCCTCAATATATTGTAGGGGATAAAGACTGCTGTAGAAGGAAGCGAAAGAATTTAGTGAATGAAACTTAAACGCCACTGGTTAAAACTTTTATAAATAGATAACATATTGTAACAAAATCATTCCACGTACAGTACCTCGTACTTGTCAAAGCTATCATATGTGTAACTTATATCATTTCTATACTCACGTTGGTGATGGTACACGTCCTACAGTTACCTCCCCTTCTGTTACTACAGTAGAACCAGTCTCAGAGATTATCCTTCTGTTAAGAATCAGTACCTGTCTTCAGAGACCACCCCATTTTATCACACTGGACAGTAGAAAAGTGCTAGTGCTTCATGTGTCATATATGGGAACCTTTGGCATAGTTATGGGGTTATTGAAGAAAGGAGGTTCATTTTGAATTCTTTGCTTCAAATGGATATTGGGATGGTGTAAATGAAAACCCTGTGTAGAACCTGGCCGGAGACAGCATCCCTTGTTACTACTTTAGAACCTGTCCTGAGAGACCACACTAAATAACCTGTCCTTATTAGAGATCATGCATATCTCACAATGCTAATGTTATAGAACATTTTTTTAAGATATCATATCCTGCCATGGTCATGATCTTATGAACACCTGACAAATTACTTTTGCTTATTTTCATAGAACAATATGTACTTGATATGTCAACTTGTTATTGTGTACAAAAGAAGAGATCTATTAATGGTAATGATAATAATGACTACATGAAACATTAGTGACACTTGTTCATTATATATTCTGGTGTGAATTGTCTCCTGTCAAACTTTGCTCTACATAGTTTTGCCTTGTGTCAAGTTTTTACTCTGAAGAGAAGAAATGAAAATTTGTGAAAAAAAGTACAGTATTTGAATTTAATATTTAAAGTTTTCAATGAATTACAATGCATCAAAAATCTATTTGGAGGATTTCATAATGAATATACCTGGTAATAAAGTTATTTATCATGTAGCGGCCTATGGAATTCAAATACACAAAGTGAAATATAATTATGTAAATTGTGAATATTTAATATACAGGTGAGGAAGTGTTGTAGTTTTATAAATATCCTAATTTGTGATAATTTGACATTTTACAGGTGTCTGGATCACAATAATCTTCATTTTGTGACTTAAAAATATAAATGTCCCTTGGGCTCATCACCAAGCAAGAAGATGTCTTGATTTGTCCAAAAAGCTGCTAGCTAAATACTGTAATAAGTTGGGATATTTATTTTTCATTTTGAAATGAGAAAAAAGCCATACAGGTGTATTTGTAAATAAATCTGCCAAGAAAGTACTGTTGAATATGAATCATTGAATCAAAACGGTTGCCTCTATGGTTCCAAATGGAACCACACATACCAGTACAATATATCAGTGTGAAGCTTATATATAATAACTTATCTCAAGTTCCAAAAGACATTTAGCATACAATTGGCATCAACAAAATGGTTTTGAATGTAAAACGCCGATAAATAAGTGATGTTATTTTGTAATTCCAGGCTCTGTAGGACTATGTTGTGAGCCTGTGTAAGATTTGGTTTGATAATGATACACATGTTGTACCACACAGTGAATGTGTCCTACTATGCATGTTATATATACTGTACCCAGATATTTTACTGGTTTTTGTTTTTATTGGGTACTTTTTGAAAAGTGAGCAATCTTTCTCTCTTCTCTGTTTATAGAGACAGTCACATCATCTTAATTCCCCTGCAAAACATTTAAAACTTTATCAAAACCTTGTTATATTGCCACCAGTTGCCGAAGAAATATTTGACATTTTAACGGGGTAATATATTGAAGTAGACGGAGAACTGTTAAAGGAGAACCCTTATGATGTCAGTAAATTAAATGAGATAATACTGTATACCAGGATTGTTTTACCTTTTTTGCCCTTCGTAATGAAGGCAAATTTATCCTTATAGCAAACATAAGTAAACGACATCATAAAACGAGTATTTAAATGCATAGGGTGAAATTGAAACTGGGCAAATATGGACGTTTACAGCTATGGTCGTTTACAGCTACGGGCGAAAGGTTGACTAGGTGAAAATACTCTGTTGTACAGGGCACTCTAATTATACCGTGTAAACAAAGCAACAAGACAGTTGTATAATTGACATGATAGATTTATTTGGTACATGAGTATCCAATGTAACAGTGGTTGTGATTATTTTACATACAGGTATGTACATAGTATTTAAATACAAATAAAATAATGTCTTTGGAATGAGTAATTACATAAAAAGTGAAGAAACCAACAGCACAGACAAAACATCAAGCAACATGGAGGCTAGAAACTATGCACACTATCACTGCCTCGCAATTAAAATCGTATATATTACAACGTGTTTACAGATGCATTCACTGGTATAAATGTTGTCATTTTATTGGAAAATTGTCTCTAGTTTTCCTTAATTTTGCAATAAACTGAAAAAGTTCTCCATTTATTGGAGCTTTTAGAAGAAGAATTTTGATTGGTCAAATATAATCACCAGAGCAAATACTATTCTCCCAAACTCTAGACTAAGATTTCAGTAAAAAAAAATCATTTTTTTGTGTGAATTTTTATCATAGCCTTACATGTATAATGAATGCTATAGTGTTTAATTACACAACAGCTCACCGTCCCAAGGTGTAAAGTCTCCTACCCAATACACGGATTACACATAGGGTAGGCTCCATAGCACATCTGTGGAAGTAAAATCATGTCTAGGTACGTCACACTAACATCCTCCTACGACACAGAAATTCTCCCTTAATTCTCCTTATCGTGGACTGAAACATTCCATTTCCATCCCTATAGTTCTCACAGATTCGTACACACTCCTCTCATGATAATGTATATCTAGTTTTGTACCACCCAAAAGTTTTGAAATTACATACGTGTGCATAAGATTTTACCAACAAGGACTACAAAGTACACTTCTTTACCAACAAGATACATTTCCAGATCTATGTTTTCCCAAATGATGTTCAGCGAGTTTTGAAGCTCTTTTTTTCAGGAGTCCAGAGTGTCATTATTTAAATATTGATGGATCCATTTACTAAGAGATACTCTAGCAGACTTCTGTACTCCGTTCGCTACAGAAAGCACAAGTCCAAGACTTCTTTTTGTAATAGCATTGATATAATGACTCCCAAAATTAAAAAAAAAGTCAGTTGTAGTTACTATAATTCAAATTTGACATAACTGCAGAAGCAAAGATTATTCATACATATCACAAACCTTTACACAACAAATACAATTAATTAATGCTACCTACAGTAGATAGATCAAGAAAAATTTAATTGACAATAAATTTTTAAACAATATAAAAATTATTGCTCTTCATACATTTATAATTCATAAACTACAATACTCGTGTTTAATTTGTACAGAAATAAATACAAGCCATCAATTCTATTGTTTATAAGGATTTCAGATTCAACATGAACATCCATCTTTACCAAAATCATTCATCATTAGAATTTAATCTAAAAAGATATAGCTATGTTTAACATCCGTAGATTAATTTTATTATACATTTCTTAAACTGCAGGTATTGATTTGATAATACAGAAAAGATACACCTTCTACAACTTAAATCAAAGCATATGTGATCATCAGTTAAATTGTATTTAAGGTAATATGCTACCTTACTGTGAATGAATCTCCATTCCAAGAGAGTTCCGCATTTAAGAAAATTGCCAGTTGGTAATTATAAGACCAGTTGAAATAAAGGTGACACACTTGAACGGAAAACTTCATATGGACACTTTTGAATTATGAAATTATTGTTGTGATTTTAAATGTTGATGACGTCAGAATTAACGGGTCTAATATTCAAAGTAACATGTACCCTTAAATGCTTCATTGACAGTACAGAGAAAAAATAACCATTGGTTTAATGATCATTAAGCCAATATTTTTTTTTACACCGTTTGTCTGATGTTCGTCATATTGAAACCTACAACACATATTTCTTTTCTAGTTAAAATAATTTAAGGACAATATCAGGTCTTTAATATATGAATTTGTAACCGTATTCAAAACCTGATCAATTATATCAGTTAAATTGATAAACAACACACAAACAAAATAACATAATGGGATTAAAATTTAAAAACAAAATGTAAATTATGAATTCATTTCTAATGTAAGGGTCTTATAAGGATTTGTTTAAGCTACATACAATTAACAAGGGACGTCTTAAAATGTTATACCATCAAATTTATCAAACTGTTAACAAATCTGGTTTACTTCTTACCTGCTAATTTGTGTACATGTAAGAAATATTTGTTTATTGTCAATCGACAATTTGTGTCTTTTATTTTTATCAATTGATCTTTTATATATGAGGTACTAATTTTCAATGCCATGTATAAAGACTTTCCTACAAAAAAAATTGAAGTTAAATGAAGTGTAGGAATAACAACATATAACAAAGACAAATACCAGCAGAATACAGGCAGCTTACAACACCAACAAAAACATAAATCACCTGTCCAAAGTGGAATTATCTCCCTTTATAATCTAATTCGCTTGTCCATTATTGAATTATCTCCCTTTGTAATGCTACCTGATATTGCCAACTGCGACACAGTGCCTGTCAAAAGTATCTTGCCGTGTCAACCTCTAACACTGTCGGGGTAGGTAATTAACATGTTTACCTTGTTATGACAACTATGGTGTAATGTCGGACTGCTATCAGATATACTGTAATGTATATAGTTCAGCATTACCCATTCTATAATATGTACATCTCTAAAAAAACTAAACAACTGTATGTTGACAAATTTATTACATCAACATGTGAAAATCAAACCAGGTTTTCCTATCTGCATATTTCTACCCAAATGTAGAAGTGTGTACTACAGGTTGCTGGCTGTAACAGAAATAGTAAATGGTCCCATGCAAGTTTTTCACTCACAAATTAATTTCTAATTCTACTTTCACGGCCTGTGTAATAACTCTGTTATTAGATTGTCTCTACATATTAATATCCCATGCAAAACCTCCCATATATTAACATTTCCCAGAATTCCCTGCTGCAGTTTCATGGTGTTAGTCAAATGTTTTTGTTTTATTAATAAGACATTTTAAGTCAAATGTTTTCTGATATGCTTAATTAAAATGATCAATGTAAAGTATTGTTTGCAATTGAGAATTTTGTATTTTTGAATATCAAATATAAATCTTTACCTTTGCACTGATCAAATATTTTCCTTCTTTATTGTACCTTTAAATAAATGTAAACTTGTATTCAAATTTTAGAATATAAATTTAATACTATAATACTGCAATGCAATACAGTACATTCCATCTAAACATTCTGGACTGTACAGGTAACTTTTTTTTTAAAAGAGTGTAGTTTAAACAAAGTAATGTACAAAGTGTTGTATTTCAACTTATATTTGATTGTTTTAAATCTGTTAATGTACAATTTTTATCAAATCTTTAAAAGGTATAACACATGATGTTGGAAATATGAATGACCTACAAATGTACTTTCACAATGGATCTGATAATGGATTTTTATCCATTTCAATACGATAATGAATACTGATGACAATGTTAAAGGTGAAAACTAGGCAGCTGAATTATAAAATTGTTCAATTTAAATCAATTTTCATCACACTCTACAGAAATAAATATGCAAACAAAATTATGAAATAAGCTCACTATAAATCACGCTGGTACCTGTTTTGTAGAAGGAGTTTTAAGTTACGTCTTGTGTAGCCGTCTACAATAGACCAATGCTTACGTTAAAAGCACTTCCCCGTGTGTTTCCTCTGGTGTTCATTTGAGTGGAGCGGGTAAATAATGGGTCTTATATAAGACTGCTAACCTTCGTGTATTTACCGTAATTATCCCACATAATACAACGCAATTGTTCCTGTGTCAATATCTTTGAGAGAATATAACATATTCTTTCATTTATGCGTTTGTTAAAACAAGCAATAAATACTTCATGAATACTTTCAATACATTTTAAAGTGAGTACAAAGAATAAGTGTAAACATGTACAATACTGTTATAACATCCTAGATGATTAACAGGTAATATCCTGTTGGTATCAACTATCTGCAATGTACAATCCAACCCCCCCCCCCCCCCCCCCCCCGCGACGCCGGGGGCTAGTAAATATAGGTTAGACAAGTACAACAGTTCAAAATCAACCTACAGGCTAGTATTCTAAATTTGAAATTGTACGTCCCCCCAAATTTGATCCACGTTACTTTGAACATGCTCCGAGAAAAAATATGGGAGACATGTTTTTCCTCAACAAACAGGTTTATTTTTTAAATTACTTTTCCTACTTATTTCAGAAATTCCTTTATGTCATCGGCTTTATAACCAAGATAATCGTGGTTCCAGTATAAATATTTCATAAAGTAAGAAATAATAAAATCCACAGTTTGCATAAACATGTACATGTACTACGTTTCCTTTGTTCCTTAATTATAATGCCACACTCTATAGAACGATGCCTGAAGTAGTTGTAAGGAAGATAACTCTACAATATTTCTAATCATTGCACTCAAATATCACCTAGTGTTCAAACATCACAATATCAACAACCATACGACTTGTCCCGTGTAAAATGAGTCTAATTTTGTTCCTCATCAGCTCTTCTTGTGGAGGTTGCTGTTGCTTTCCCTTCTGAGTCATTCTACTGTCTGATTTCGCCTTCCATCCAAAAAGCTCAGCCAATCATGTCACTCTGCCTGAGAGTCAGTGACCTCCCATCCCAAGTCATTCAAGACTACAGTCACTATATGCCTCAGTTAATCCTCTATCTGAGTCGCCCTCAGGTTGAGTAATTCTATACTACAGTGTCATTCTATTAGCGACACATCGACTGTTGAATCATTCTGACACCTAGATGCTCAGCCATCCAAGGGTTGAAGCAGCAAATCTTGCAATAAATAAATTTACTCTCCCCAAATTAAACAGGCAATAAACGCTAGCACACTAACAAATGTCCACAATCCTAGAATTTGATCGCGTGTATGTAGATATCTGGATCTGCTGATCTGGCACAGTAAAAACCCTTACACAAGTAGCATGATGATGCAGTGATCTGATATCTGGCTTTGTACAAAATGTTTGTCTTGTGTAATATCATCAAGTCAGTGGACTGACCAATCCAAACTCTTGTTACATTTCATCATGTGAGGATTGACCGATCCAAACTCTTGTAACATTTCATCATGTGAGAATTGACCAATCCAAACTCTTGTTACATTTCATCAGGTGAGAATTGACCAATCCAAACTCTTGTTACATTTCATCATGTGAGGATTGACCGATCCAAACTCTTGTAACATTTCATCATGTGAGGATTGACCAATCAAAAGTCTTGTTACATTTTACCATGTCTGGCATATATCAATTTTTCCACATCCCCTTCACAACCTTGAGTGCTGGGAAAGGAATAATGTATTGGATTCAGATGAGACTTTGTTGCAAGTATGGTCATCACCTCGAGATGATCTCACTTTAACGTAAGCACCCCAAACATAGATATGACTGATCACATGACATCAAATGTATCAGTCACAAGCCTGGCCACATGACTTGATCACATGACTTGATCACCTGACCTGATCTACATTACCATCACATATATGGTCACTTGATTCTTGTCCAGTTAAAACTACTATTGTCTTTGGTAATCACAAGAACGGGTTCGAGCTGCTCGAAGGGGCTACAGGCTGGGAAGCTGCAGACTGCAAAATACAAATAAATATTTGATCAGACATGTCACTTTTAGGCTCGTATCTACTTAAATAACTTGTGTGTTTCATTTGTCTCCTGGATTTTTATAGATCACAGTTTGGTAAGTAATAACTCCATGCATTGAAAACAGCCTAAGTGGTGTACCAGTAACCATTCCAATTTGAACACTTGTTCTCTGTAAATCATCTATGGTTATAGGTAGAGACTGCCTAAAAGGAAATGTCCAACTCATTTTATAAATCTCACAGAAAACTGAAACAGATTTTAGCTCCTTTACATAAATGCAGATAAATAATATCTATACTTAAATATTTGGATGTTATCTAGGGGAAGGTACCTAGCTACAAGGAAGAGGTTGGTTGTGGAACTAGCTACATTGTACAAGGAAGAGGTTGGTTGTGGATCTAGCAACATTGTACAAGAAAGAGGTTGGTTATGAGACTAGTTACAAGAAAGAGGTTGGTTATGTGACTAGTTACAAGGAATAGGTTGTTTGTGGGAGTAGTTACAAGGAAGAGGTTGGTTATGTGACTAGTTACAAGGAAGAGGTTGGTTATGTGACTAGTTACAAGGAGTAGGTTGNACAAGGAAGAGGTTGGTTATGTGACTAGTTACAAGGAAGAGGTTGGTTATGTGACTAGTTACAAGGAAGAGGTTGTTTGTGGGAGTAGTTACAAGGAAGAGGTTGTTTGTTGGACTAGCTATAAGGACAAGGTTGGTTATGGGAGTGGTAACCCACCATGAAGGGGTTGGCTGTAGGCGCTGGCTGTCCCCATCCTGCACCTCCAGCTGCCGGCCCAAATCCTTGTTGCTGAATTGACATACCCGCCATTTTGTTATCAAAATGTCCTGGTGGCATGGCATTACCAAAATTTGACATGGTCTGGGGCTGAGAGAATGCACCAAAGCCCCCAGCGGCTGGAGCTACATTGCCTCCACCATTTTGCATTCCAAATTGTCCGAAATTAGTGCCACCTTGTTGTTGAGGTGCACCACCCATCCCACTAGATGGCGGCACTGCACCAAACTGACCAAAGCCCCCAGCTGCTGATGTCTGGGGCTGAGCAAATCCGCCCATGGAAGTTGCGGGTGGCTGCTGACCAAATCCTGGGGCCATTGCTGGCTGGCCAAACCCTGCCTGGGTAGGCTGAGTCTGACCACCAAACAATGACTGGCTCCCTGCTCCTCCGAATGGATTACTGGCTGGTCCCATAGCTGGCTGTGCAGGTACTGTGGTTGATCCTCCACCAAATGGGTTTGCACCTGTAAATACACATCATAACACAATAAGATCATGATCACAGACATTCTTGTAATGAATCAATCAATGCCACACACGCTCTTCAAAAAAGTTGTGAATAAGTGGATATACAAAAGAAAGTTGTATTAAGAAGATAAAGCATACATATGGGAAATCAAACAGATCTACTCCATATAAATGTAGATACTGGCCATGAATTATGTATTTATTGATGTGGAAATATTCCAGGTGTTTCCAGTTTTACTGATTCATATAAGAATAACATACAATGACACCTGTGAACAAATTTCAACAAAAATTATATGATTATAAACAACATCAGTAATATTACAAAGTAACCCCCCCATCCTCAAATATTTAATTCTGACTTTAAATCAACATTTTTTATGTTTCCTTATTAGTTTGTTATTGGACTTATATTAGACTAGAAATTAGAATCTAGCTCATGCCATCTCATTCTCAATACATACAATCAGAATCAGCCTGTCAAAGCATTATGGAGGAGAAACCCTCTATACAGAAATGCATCGCTTTGAAAGTTTACTACACATACCACAATAAAGTAATCTAACAAGCTAAGGTAATGTTAGTACAGGTAAAATCTACAAATAGTACACAGGTGAAAATGTACTGTATACCATGTGTCACAGGTAACCTTTACATACTTTGTACAACATTGTACAGGAGAAATATAAACAATTCTCTTTGGATTTTTTCATGCTAAAGTAAGCACAATTTGTATCTATATTGGAAGGTAAAAAGTACCTGGTACTCTGAAGCTATAGGTAAATGTATAATGTACCAACTCTACCTGGTCCTCTGGATCTGTAGCTATAGGTAAATTTATAATGTGCCAACTCTTCCTCGTATTGTCTGTAGCTATAGGTAAATGTATAATGTACCAAATCTACCTGGTACTCTGGATCTGTAGCTATAGGTAAATTTATAATGTACCAACTCTACCTGGTATTGTCTGTAGCTATAGGTAAATGTATAATGTACCAACTCTCCCTGGTACTGTCTGTAGCTATAGGTAAAAGTATGATGTACCAACTCTACCTGGTACTCTGGATCTGTAGGTAAATGTATAATGTACCAACTCTACCTAGTACTGTCTGTAGCTAAAGGTAAATGTATAATGGACCAACTCTACCTAGGACTGTCTGTAGCTATAGGAAAATGTATAATGTACCAACTCTACCTGGTACTCTGTAGCTATAGGTAAATGTATAATGTACCAACTCTACCTGGTATTGTCTGTAGCTATAGGTAAATGTATAATGTACCAACTCTACCTGATACTGTCTGTAGCTATAGGTAAATGTATAATGTACCAACTCTCCCTGTTAGTGTCTGTAGCTATAGGTAAATGTATAATGTACCATCTCTACCTAGTACTGTCTGTAGCTATAGGTAAAAGTATAATGTACCAACTCTACCTGGTACTCTGTAGCTATAGGTAAATGTATAATGTACCAACTCTACCTAGTACTGTCTGTAGCTATAGGTAAATGTATGATGTACCAACTGTACCTAGTACTGTCTGTAGCTATAGGTAAATGTATAATGTACCATCTCTACCTAGTACTGTCTGTAGCTATAGGTAAAAGTATGATGTACCAACTCTGCCTGGTAATCTCTGTAGCTATAGGTAAATGTATGATGTACCAACGCTCCCTGGTAATCTCTGTAGCTATAGGTAAATGTATAATGTGCCAACTCTACCTAGTACTGTCTGCAGCTATAGGTAAATGTATGATGTACCAACTCTACCTTGTACTGTCTGTAGCTATAGGTAAATGTATAATGTACCATCTCTACCTAGTACTGTCTGTAGCTATAGGTAAATGTATGATGTACCAACTCTACCTGGTAATCTCTGTAGCTATCGGTTAATGTATATTGTACAAACTCTACCTGGTAATCTGTAGCTATAGGTAAATGTATAATGTACCATCTCTACCTAGTACTGTCTGTAGCTATAGGTAAAAGTATGATGTACCAACTCTACCTGGTACTCTGGATCTTTAGCTATAGGTAAATGTATAATGTACCAACTCTCCCTGTTAGTGTCTGTAGCTATAGGTAAATGTATAATGTACCAACTCTACCTGGTATTGTCTGTAGCTATAGGTAAATGTAAAATGTACCAACTCTACCTGATACTGTCTGTAGCTATAGGTAAATGTATAATGTACCAACTCTCCCTGTTAGTGTCTGTAGCTATAGGTAAATGTATAATGTACCATCTCTACCTAGTACTGTCTGTAGCTATAGGTAAAAGTATAATGTACCAACTCTACCTGGTACTCTGGATCTGGAGCTATAGGTAAATGTATAATGTACCATCTCTACCTAGTACTGTCTGTAGCTATAGGTAAAAGTATAATGTACCAACTCTACCTGGTACTCTGTAGCTATAGGTAAATGTATAATGTACCATCTCTACCTAGTACTGTCTGTAGCTATAGGTAAATGTATGATGTACCAACTCTACCTGGTACTCTGGATCTTTAGCTATAGGTAAATGTATAATGTACCAACTCTCCCTGTTAGTGTCTGTAGCTATAGGTAAATGTATAATGTACCATCTCTACCTAGTACTGTCTGTAGCTATAGGTAAATGTATAATGTACCATCTCTACCTAGTACTGTCTGTAGCTATAGGTAAATGTATAATGTACCAACTCTACCTAGTACTGTCTGTAGCTATAGGTAAAAGTATAATGTACCAACTCTACCTGGTACTCTGTAGCTATAGGTAAATGTATAATGTACCAACTCTACCTGGTACTATGTAGCTATAGGTAAAAGTATGATGTACCAACTCTACCTGGTAATCTCTGTAGCTATAGGTAAATGTATAATGTATCAACTCTACCTGGTACTCTGGATCTGTAGCTATATGTAAATGTATAATGTACCAACTCTACCTGGTACTGTCTGTAGCTATAGGTAAAAGTATGATGTACCAACTCTACCTAGTATTGTCTGTAGCTATAGGTAAATGTATAATGTACCAACTCTACCTGATACTGTCTGTAGCTATAGGTAAATGTATAATGTACCATGGTACTCTACCTGGTACTCTGGATCTGTAGCTATAGGTAAATGTATAATGCACCAACTCTACCTGGTAATCTGTAGCTATAGGTAAATGTATGATGTACCAACTCTACCTGGTACTGTCTGTAGCTATAGGTAAATGTATAATGTACCAACTCTACCTGGTAATCTGTAGCTATAGGTAAATATATAATGTACCAACTCTACCTGGTACTGTCTGTAGCTATATGTAAATGTATAATGTACCAACTCTACCTGGTACTCTGTAGCTATAGGTATATGTTTTGTTTCACATTCAAGACTTGAGGGTAACACATGTTTTGAAACTTTCTATCCGTGAGGATTTAAATGATCAGAAAAATGTATCTTGATGTTCCTCATCACTGTTTTTGGTACAAAATCTGGAAAGTCAAAATTTGGTAATCTTTAATACATGTTTATATAACTTACTTTTAACTTTTCCTTGAGTGTAACGGACTGTCACCTTTTTACTACTAAAAACATGGGCTGCAATGCAATGCTAAGGTATAAATACACAATGTACCATATGTGTAACCCGGAGTCACCAAACTTCTCCCACAAATTGTAACATTTCTTTGCCACATAAAGTAGGATGAAAATTAAATGACAGGTGAGGAAACCAATAGACAACAAGATGGCCGAAAAAAGAAAGAAATATTGTGCACAGCCATAGCGACAGTAACCATGACAATACACAATAAAGCAATAGTGAACAGCCAATCAGATAAGTGTCTGGTTTTTCTGCTGAATGTCCAAAATTAAATAAGAATCATATGAAATACTTCAATAGAAACCATAGTTGTATCTTCTCATTTAGATTCAAATTGCATAAAGCCAATGCAAAATGTATTCAAATATATTGCAGTTTTGGATAATTTTATTCCAAAATGTAGGTATGAAATAGTTTTTGATTCAAGTCTTAATTAACAGTGCAGTTAAAATTATTTGAAATGGAAATTAAAGAAACTACAGTAAGGATTTCAACAGTCAACACGCAGACAGCAAGGGTTTTATGTATTGATAAGACAAGGGTTCAGCTGATAAAATCACAATATTGCATCAAAGTGTTCAATCTAATATTGCATAAATACATCTGTGCTAATATATACATGTGTTGTAGTAGTTTATACATTGTTTTTCATCATGTAATCATGACAGATGTCATTGTTTGTGTAATGTATGTATAAGCACAGCTATAACATTATACAGAGGTATGTATGGAGAATGTTATTTTCTGTCAATATGTATATTATTATGTATGCATACATTGATTATCTATGTAAAAACATGCAATTAAAACCTGTTTATATATTTTGTGTATAATGTTTAATATATTCAATTAAAAATAATGCAGATTTGTTGATCTGAGTAGGTCCATGTACTACATGTAGAACTGATTTCTAAGGTACAAATGATTTCCAACACAACATCTCTACCATACTACCTGCATAGTCTCTGAAATCATATCTATACATACAATTCAAAGGTTGGAACATCCCTCCAAGCTTGTTATGTATGTATAAAAATGTTTCACCATGGATTTTTAATTAAACCCAATTTTCTGTACAGTACACTATAGAATGGTGAGAATGCATACTTGCCAACCCTCCCTATTTTGGAGGAGATTCTCGACTAAGAACATTTTCATTCAGTAAACTTGCCAAACTACTGCTTTACACTAAGATCTTATGTTTTCATCAGAAAGAATAACCAAAAAGATCCTATTCTGAAGTGTTACTTTTAACCTGGGGTTGTATATATACACGTTTTATCTATGTTTTAACTTTGAGCAAAAGGAACCTCCCCCATGAAAATTTCACAAGGTTGGCAAGTATGAGGTTGAGAATAGTGACTGGTTTAGTCAGCTCCCGCTGAATCACCCAACCAACGTTAATGAACCCACATTATCTGGACATCACCTCTCTACATACCTACAAATTCAGGAAGACAACCTTTCTTTGTAAATGAGAATCGGCAATTACAATTTTGGAAAGTAACTGGCTTTGTGATGTTCCTGTGTTTGTTTGAATGTAAAGGAGTATTTCCACAGAGAAACATATTTATTTGAAAGTCGTTCATGATTGTGTAGGAAATAGAAGTACAGAAATGAAATATAGAATAGTAAGATTCTCATGTCGCATATCACGGAAGGCGTCAACACTCAGAGGATGGTTGGGTGGCACAGTGTATAACACACTCGCCTTTCACCAAGGTGACCGGGGTTCAATTCCCCCCTGATTGGTCGTGAAAGGTTACGGGCTCACCTGCCCGACCACTTGGCACTCCAATTTCCTCCCACATTAAGACCCCCCGCGTGTTAACACCCGAGCCAACAAGACTGATTGATATAGGTTGTAATAACTTGTATCATAATTGCTGTAAAGTATATAAACTTGATTATTATTATCAACATTCAGAGAACCAGAAAAAGAAAACCTAAATGTCACTGTATATGCGTCCTTTTCTACGGGATAAAACTGTCACTGTATAATTATGGATGCTTTCCATTTAGCCGGCAGTACCAGCACTGGCAGTACTAGCTATAGAGGTGAAGATACCAACCATTACAATGATGCCTCTTACATTGCCAGCAACGATGCTAGCAAATTATGACAAATGGTAATCCATTATTGTAGCGATTTATTTACCTGAAATCATCGGTAAGGATAAAATGGAAAGTGTCATATGTCTCCATTTTTGTATGAGGTTATTAAATATTTCCTTTCTTTTTTGTTGTTTCCTTGGTCCTGTTGCCATTTTTTTGTATAAACATTGAGTTATGATGTTGTTGTTTCTCTTTGGGTGCTGTTATTTATTTTGTATCGACATTGTGTTTGGGTTTTCATTTTTGTTGACTTCATTGTATTTGTTTTTGTTTACTTGTAGGAATTGTGTACCGATACAATTTGACAGAGACATCACTGAATAAATATATATATAAGTTCTAGATAGGAAGCCGTGTTATATTTAGCAGTGATAAATGTGACTAATTACAATTCTTGTTAGTACTGTATTTTTACATAATTTTAAATAAAAGGATTTCAAAGTTGACGACCATGTTATTGTGTTAATAGGTTTTTTGTTTGACAGTATTTCTACATATAGGTACATATTGGCTAACATGACCAGGCTTGTACATGTACATGGATATAGGGACGAACTAGAAAAGAAATCATACTACCAAAATACAAGTAATGTAGAATAAATGGCAAGAATAATTCAATCAGTTGCATAACCACAAATAACTACCTGTGACCTGTCATATGACCTTCAGGCTAAATATGCGTGAACAACTAAAAAACCAGACAGAAATTATGTTATTTCGATGGCAATCAGTTACATCAAAATTTCTAGAAGTGATATTTAATGTGAAAATATAAAACTCTCAGCAGCATAAATGGCAGATTCAGAATCCTAAGAACATCCTCCCACCCCTTTTCCATCTTTTCCCCTCAATTTAGGATCAACCAAACCCAAATCCTATGAATAAATCTCTGGAACTGCCACTGACAAAGCTTGCTTTGATCATTTGTACACAAGAAGATCAGTAAAATCTTAATTCCAGCTTCATAATATATGCCCTATTCCCATGTGATATCTTTTTCTCTGGCGAAATCATTGAACTTTTGTCACAGGTAGTTAGGTAAAACTCAGAAACCAATGAACAAGTTTGGAACCAACGTATGAACCATGCAATAAACTAGGACGGTAAAGACAGTGTCATGGCCAACAAGCTGTACTGTACCAGATGCTGACGAGATAAAGGGGTTGCCTGGGTTTCCGACTCTCTGCGAGGCTGACCAATCAAAACACAACAAAATTTTAAATAAAAAACAATTCTACAAACAAAATAAAAGAGACTTCATAGGTCAGTACATAACACACACACAACCCTACTTTGCTTTTTAGGGTTGGGTCTATTCTTTTTTGCCAGGCACCTGTTTTTTTTTATATTATTACTATAACTTAATAATAAAAAAAAAAACTGTAAAAGTATACTGATCAAATCTGATTGATTCAACTTTTTGCTCACTTAAGGATCCCTGTGCCACTACAGGCAAAACACTAGAGAGTTCCAATGCATTTTTTTAGATATAACTGTAGCACATTTAAGCCAAGGTACATGTACTAACATTAATTACCATGTACAGTGTAGCTCAGTTGGTTAGAGTAACAGTATAACAATCTCAGGTGAAGGCTTCAATCCTGGTAAAATCAGGCCAAGTTTTTACACACAGAACAATGTTGTTTATAGTATGTTTTTATTTCATCTTTTCATCATTTTTTCATAGAAAGGGTTGATTCAGAAATGATAAGCCTTGTCAGAAAAAAACAGTATCTAATGCATATTTCCAGATTTAGGCAGTGGTACAGATATCCTTAAATCTATTGTCTATGAAAATGTCTTACATACAATTTATCATATGTATTTGTGCTAAATTGTACACATTTAACTCATTCACCCCTGAAGACACATTTGAACTCTTCCAATTCAAAGGTTGGAATAGTTCATTATGAAATTTCAGGGGTGAATGAGTTAATATCTCCCTTAGTTCAAGAGTCTTCCATAACTATATTCCTAGACTTTATTACAGTAGATAGAAGATAAGTAAGAAACTTTTGTCCTTTTAACATCCGTATATTTATGTAACTTTAAACAGACACACAATGTGCTGATCAAGATTACTTTGGTTATTTTTTTTTATCACAAAAGACTAAAACACAACCTTACTACACTAAATATTAATAAACAAATCTAGTAGGAAAAACATAATGGAGAAGAATGGAACAGTTCAAGAAGAAAGTGCTAGTAACCAAAGTAAATGGATTACATGTTTTGATTTTTGCAATTAAACGAGATATAATGATCATGACTTTCTGTTCTCACCTGCATTAGGAAACGCGTTGGAAGATGTGGCATTTGTGGTGGAGGAGGTGTTCCAGTTGAAGCCAGTATTGGCCGCAGCGTTTGGCTGGCTATTCCAGCTGACTGCTGTAGTGGGGGTCTGAGCCGGCGCCGGAGTGTTTTTGACCCCTGATCCATCCCAGCTGCCACCCCCTCCGGATCCCCAGTTAAGGGCTGACCCGTTATCTCCAGAGCCACCGGTCCAGCCCACCGAGGGACTTGGCTGGGTTGTAGCTACTGGGTCCGAGCTGAATAGGTCGGCCAAAGATGCATACTTATCTCCCCCTTGTTGTGCCGCAGAAGAGGCAGGTGTAGAGGCTGGGGTGGACTGAGGAGTAGAGAAAACCCCGTTAGCTGTGGTCGGAGGCTTATCCTGGGCTGAACTTCCCATGGGAAAAAGTGTGTCTGCAACAAAGGAGACACAAATTATAAATACTACAAAATCAAGTGGTGAAGAAATACAACTGAACATATATTTTTTTTATCATTTTTTTTGTTATGGGTGATAATTTAACCGAACCCTTCAACAAAGCAAATTCTGAAATGGTATCCAAACCTTGACATCAACTGTAAATCTAAGTACCATCTTCAACTAAATATGTGATTAGTACAACACACCAAGGCTACTAAATATAGATCACCCTTATCGTACACACTGGTTTCTACAGTAGTTTTTAGGGTACTTTAGGGCCCTTCTGGAGTATAGATTCTGATACACAGCCTCAGCATTGGTAAAAATTCACCATTTAGTTTCAGATTTTACATTTTTGTGACCCCTTATTGCCTCGCCAATGAGCCCCCTGGGTGGTGTTAGGTGTTCGGGGTTAAAGGGTCAGCCACCTCCAGAATTGAGATTCAGATCCTGACCTGAGGCTGAGGTTTCCACTAAGTTTCACCACAGACACAGTTTCTGACGAAGTTGAAAATCTGATTATTTATGGGTGACGCACAACGCATGACAGCAGACGACAGACGAATGACAGTAGTTTCAGGTGACCTGAGTGACTCGGGCGACCTAAACATGCCGTCATTATTTTCCAACAGAATAAGTACAGGTGTCTGTGAAACAGCAAAATCATTTAATGATGCGGGTCATTTAGCAGGTATGTCATTAATTTATACCAGACACATAAGTCTATAACAACATAAAGCTTTTACATCCTCTGGGATTTGTTACCTTTTACATCCTCTGGGATTTGTTAACTATTACATATCCTCTGGGATTTGTTAGCTTTTACATCCTCTGTGATTTGTTAGCTTTTACATCCACTGGGATTTGTTAATTTTACATCCTCTGGGATTTGTTAGCTTTTGCATCCACTGGGATTTGTTAGCTTTTACATCATCTGGGATTTGTTAACTTTTATATCCTCTGGGATTTGGTAGCTTTTACATCCTCTGGCATTTGTTAACTTTTATATCCTCTAGGATTTGTTAACTTTTACATCATCTGGGATTTCTTAGCTTTTACATCCTGTGGGATTTGTTAACTATTACATATCCTCTGAGATTTGTTAGCTTTTACATCATCTGGGATATGTTAACTTTTATATCCACTGGGATTTGTTAGCTTTTACATCCACTGGGTTTTGTTAACTTTTACGTCCTCTGGGATTTGTTATCTTTTACATCATCTGGGATATGTTAACTTTTATATCCACTGGGATTTGTTAATTTTTACATCATCTGGGATTTCTTAGCTTTTACATCCTCTGGGATTTGGTAGCTTTTACATCCTGTGGGATTTGTTAACTTTCACATCATCTGGGATTTGTTAACTTTCACATCATCTGGGATTTCTTAGCTTTTACATCCTCTGTTATTTGTTAGCTTTTAGATCCTCGGGGGTTTGTTAACTTTTACATCATCTTGGATTTGTTAGCTTTTGCATCCACTGGGATTTGTTAGCTTTTACATCATCTGTGATTTGTTAACTTTTATATCGTCTGGGATTTGTTAGCTTTTACATCATCTGGGATATGTTAACTTTTATATCCGCGGGGATTTGTTAACTTTTATATCGTCTGGGATTTGTTAGCTTTTATCTCCTCTGGGATTTGTTAAGTTTTACATCCTCTGGCATTTGTTAACTTTTATATCCGCGGGGATTTGTTAACTTTGACATCATCTGGGATTTGTTAATTTTTACATCATCTGGGATTTGTTAATTTTACATCCTCTGGGATTTTTTAGCTTTTGCATCCACTGGGATTTGTTAATTTTTACATCATCTGGGTTATGTTAACTTTTATATCGTCTGGGATTTGTTAGCTTTTACATCATCTGTGATTTGTTAACTTTTATATCGTCTGGGATTTGTTAGCTTTTGCATCCACTGGGATTTGTTAGCTTTTGCATCCACTGGGATTTGTTAGCTTTTGCATCCACTGGGATTTGTTAACTTTTATATCCTCTGGGATTTGTTAGCTTTTACATCCTCCGGGATTTGTTAACTTTTACATCCTCTGTGATTTGTTAGCTTTTATATCCTCTGGGATTTGTTAACTTTTACATCCACTGGGATTTGTTAGCTTTTACATCATCTGGGATATGTTAACTTTTATATCCTCTGGGATTTGTTAACTTTTACATCCTCTGGGATTTGTTAACTTTTATATCCTCTGGGATTTGTTAACTTTTACATCCTCTGGGATTTGTTAACTTTTACATCCTCTGGGATTTGTTAGCTTTTATATCCTCTGGGATTTGTTAGCTTTTACATCCTCTGTGATTTATTAACTTTTACATCCACTGGGATTTTTTATTAATAAGCTGTAATGCATGGTGAAAAACATTCACTGCATAACATACACATTTTCTATCCAATATATCTGAAAACTGAAACTGAAAGGTTTTGGTTCATTGGAGAGATAAATACACCAAATTTGTCTGGAACCACTGTTATTGCAGCATACATCCAGTGTTTTCCTGCTTACTAATATATACGAGGATTTTTCCAAATCAGTGTTTTTGTTACCTCTATTTTACAACAGTCTGTTCCTTTATGAATTGGGAAAATTACATTATTTGTATTGAAGTAGGGAATTTTAAGAAATAAGGCTTTTTCTATTAAGGGAAAAGCACCTGTATTCGGCAGTAAAATCACTGCAAATAAAGTCTGAATAGTTCAAAATTCATCAGTAATTTTTTATGTGAGAACATGGTTCTATGTATTATACCATCCAAACTTTCCCAATTTTGCACGTGTGCCGCAAAAAAAATCCCAAATTGGTCGGGGAAAAACACTTATACAGTACACATGTACTGAAGTCAGACTGATTCATACAGTACACATGTACTTAAGTCAGACTGATTCATACAGTACACATGTACTTAAGTCAGACTGATTCATGTATGTGTTTTCTTCTTCATTTTTTATTTGTATTTACCAAAGGTTATGAACTATTTGAAACTAATTAAAGTTCATTTTTGCAATGATATGAATTTAAAGGAATGTTTTAAGGACAATTTCAGGTACCCTGTAATACACAGGTATACCGCGGTAGGTATGGAACTAAAGATCAGCACACAAAAACACAGCAACAACATCAATTCTGCCTATTTTCACACATCATTGAATGTGATGATAGCTTGGGATTAAGGGAGATAATTGACAATCATGCCTTAGATACTTTTTGCAAATAATTGCAAAGTAACAACTTAAGTGGCCTAAATTTCTATGTATCTATACACTCCAACAAACATTATTTTAGGAAACGAAGAGAATAAGAATGTTTAACCTATGCCGCTACCATCAAGTAATGCATTTCAAATTTTAATTTAAAAAAAATCAAACATGATATAACATTATTTTATATGTAGACTAAATAATATACACCCAGGTGATACATAAAGCCACTTCAAACAAAAGTCGTACAGAAACTTGATGTAAAGGAATGTGGAAGGATTTGGATTTGAAGTTTCACCGAGAGTGGAGGTCGGGTATATATATAGGTGGTAGAGTGAGGAAGGTTTGGGTAGGGCTACTTACTGCCGCTAGATTGGAAGGGGAGGCTGGTTTGTGCTGGTGCTGTGAACTGGCTATTAAAGTTGCTAAAATCTGCAAACCCGCCTGAAATAAAGGTCAAGTAAAGGTCAGCACCACACATATAGGTCATTATACATTATTCGCAGGTATACAATATTTTTATGGCGTCCAGTCTATTGTCGAATAAATTAACCTAATGCACTAAAAATACAAGTGATGTATACAAAATATCTGTATTCCAGACACTCAGTATACTCGGCAGTGAACCTTACAATGAGGTCCCTTTTCGTACCTTCACATGCATGAGGTGTGCATGGATGGGTTTGTGCTGTAGGTTGTTTGACATGTTTATTTGGGGTTTTACATCCTTGCAACAGCTTCTTATAGGGTCGTATAAAGACGGGTGCAGCAGGTTGTTAGTTTATTTGGGGTATTACGTCCTTGCAACAGTCAAGATCATAATTATATGGGTGCTGGGGGTTGTATACATTTTCTGCTTGTCATGGGTTTGTGTTTCCAACACCTCGTTTATAGTGTCTTTCCAACTTAATATAACAGTACAGAAACTGTTATAACCTTAACCCAGACGACAACATACTTCATTCTAGGCAGGAGACTTAGAGGCAATGACTTAAGGAAAAATGTTCAGCTTGCTCAAGGACAAAAGCACATCCCGGCTTCTGAGGGATCCGACCCTACAGCCTAATCGTAAATAGGCTGAGTCACTTCTAACTGTGTTTTCTATGAGTCTCCAGGTATAGTCTGTCAGATGTTTCTGGTTAAAGATTTGGGATAATACATGTATGTGTTATGGATTGCGATCAATTGTACTGAATAACAGGAATGTAATAACAGAATCTCAAGAACTGTCTCTGATTTATAAATTTAGCATAGATCCTGTGTGACGATTCATCAACTTGCAATATAAACGCAGATGTGTTTTGTCAATACATACCTGTGAAAACTGACAAACACAGAATGAATCTAACAAACACAGAATGACTCTAACAATGTATTTCTTATATAAAATTTTGAATATTTAAAAGAGTACCATCTTAGGGAATACAAGGTCATACTTTCCCTCTAACCAAATGTCTTACTTATTTGTCATTTTAATACTTTCAATGATTCCTTAACAGCCAATGAACTCACCCAAACACTTAATCAATAAGCCAATATTCACCATGTCTCTACAAGAACTAATTACAGTTAATGGTGACGAGCTGACTTAAATATAAGTCAAACACAACATACATACCGGTACTTTATATTTTTAGCATGTGATTATATATATCTTGGACAATTAGGAAAAAACATCAGATGATAGAAAAGTTCTTTTATTTACACAAAGTCTAGACCTTATCTAAGTGTCTCCACTTTCTGTACCAGTAGAAATGTGGTACTCCATTGTTTCATGTACCAATCCTTCTATCCCTATCTGGTACTGTAATAGGCGTCAATCAAGGGTAGATTTCATTCATAGTGCCTTTTATCTGAGATCTTGATATCAAGTGTTTCTAAACTTCAAGGGAACTCGGTGCACACTGTATGTCCTATCATTCGTCAATATTTAGCCTTGGTATTTGGGCAAATCCAGTAAACGTATCATTCTGTGGCATTTTTACTTCACTACTGTAAATAATCACCTCTTTTTTAACAACAGAAATTCTGTGAAAAATATCAAAAGTACATATACTTCTATACCATGTTCCTCAAATATAATGTGTAGAAAAAATATTCATATTTTCAACCAATCAGGGTCACTGACCTATTTACTCACACAATATCTTAACTACAAGCACCATTCCTCCGGTTATCTCTATTAATTCCAAACCATTCTTAATTCAAATTTTCTCTTAAACAAATTGAGTTTTACTTTTTAAACATTTGAACAAAATGTGTTCACCATCAGATAAAAACTTTTTTTTTTAAATTTCTTTAAAATTTTGAAAATGTCTGTAAGACAAGTATGCCACCCTTGACACTGTGGTTGACCTAAATATAGCAATAGTAAACTTGGCCTTGACCTTGGGATCCTGAAAAGCGATTTTATCCAAGGTTTTTTCATACCGGAGCTTTTTTTTAAACTCTGATAAAAATCTACTAGTCATGACAATGAATTGTGAAAGTGAAGGGAAACAATAATTATGGGCATGAATAACACCGTACACCCCTCACATAAAAGTGCATATTTTGTTCTCAATATTGAGTTAAGTTCTCTGACTGTAATAGTAAATGTATTATAATTAAAGTTTGTTCTCAATAATGAGTTATGGCAAGTATTGGGTAACAATATTAATCTATGTCAGTCCCGAGCCGAACCTGTAGCTTTCCTACAGTCTCTAATCTTAAACACGTAATACTTCGGTCGTTAGACATTGGTGCCAACCATACTGTGGTACCACTGCCTACATCTAACGAATTCACCCACAATATATATCAGCTGAATAGTTTACCAGCTTTAATTTGTAAATAAAGACTAAAAGCAATATCATGTTAAGCGATATAACACAAACCAATTTTATTGTACATGTATATATTTCTTCTTTTGAATCTATTCCTATATAGTTTTTGTTTTGTATTTTAAATTTCCTTTGAGTTTGTCTGCTGAAAATGTTTTAGCTATATATGAAGATAACTAGGCTATATAAACAATGGGGCCCACACATACACAGTGATCTACGCAGCAGGATGTAGAATCAGGCTAAATACTTGACTTTTTTTTTTTTACTTACACTTTTATAATTTGTTTAACTGTTTTATGACGTGGTGTGGTCAATATATGTTTCCTTACCTCTAAATTTAAAAAAATCAACCTAACGGCTTGAAGCAAGAATGACTTTTTTAAAATTAGGATTATTTGTAAAGTTACCGCGACGTGTCGTATATTGGAGAGACAGGTAGGCGACTTGGGGTCCGCCTTGGGGTCCGCCTTGGTGAAAACCGGAAAGACACAGAAACCCGAGAAGAGTCTCGCACATTTATGACCAAGTGTTAACAAAGGGTAGCTGAATTGAGTCTTTTCGATACATATATAATATTGTACATATGTTTTCCAGCATAGCCGAAATCAACATCAATTTTATGGACAACTTGTACACATTTTACACCTTTGTGTGCTTCACTGGTCATTTGTCTGATGAAGGAGACAGTGTACATATCGTACAAGTCATCGAAACATCACATAGAACATTTTATTGGTTGTGTAAAAAGAACTTCTCATAATCCATACTTACCAACCTGAAGAAAATGTTTAGAAATTACTGGGAATATAATTACTGATAGGAAAAAAGGTGTGGCAATTATAATAAACAAACATCTTTAAATGAAACAGGTGATTTATATCTTTAAAGTCAAAACAAGCTCAAATTTGCCATATTTCGGTGAATTTGACAGGAGATTTTTTTCTCTTTAAATATGAGCAAAATTGATAAATTAATAAATTAAAAGTTGGCAGCCTGGTGCTATAAGAATGACGTCATCAATGTGAGTGTACATATAGGTATGTTATGATTGGTGATCAGTGAAAAGACAACCAATTACTACCAGGGTATTTGTAATTAACAACCAATTACTACCGGGGTATTTGTAACTAACAAACAATTACTACCGAGGTATTTGTAATTAACAACCAATTACTACCGGGGTATTTGTAATTAACACCCAATTACTACCGGGGTATTTGTAACAAACAACCAATTACTACCAGGGTATTTGTAATTAACATCCAATTACTACCGGGGTATTTGTAATTAACAACCAATTACTACCGGGGTATTTGTAACTAACAACCAATTACTACCCGGGTATTTGTAACTAACAACCAATTACTACCGGGGTATTTGTAACTAACAACCAATTACTACCAGGGTATTTGTAACTAACAACCAATTACTACTGGGTTATTTGTAATTAACAACCAATTACTACTGGGGTATTTGTAATTAACAACCAATTACTATCCGGGTATTTGTAATTAACAACCAATTACTAACGTGGTATTTGTAATTAACAACCAATTACTATCCGGGTATTTGTAATTAACAACCAATTACTACCGTGGTATTTGTAATTAACAACCAATTACTACCGGGGTATTTGTAATTAACAACCAATTACTACCGGGGTATTTGTTTTTAACAACCAATTACTACCAGGGTATTTGTAATTAACAACCAATTACTACCGGGGTATTTGTAATTAACATTTTAGTGACAGTATCTAGCTGTTGTATGTTACTCAATCACTCATGTCTTTATCACTGGTAGCCATTTTACACTGACCATGTGATATATGTACATAGATGTTCAGGATAAAATGTACAAGCCTTAATATCTATCATCTTATATGACAACCTTCCACCCCTCCCCCAGTCCATAAACTAGGAAGACTGCACATACTCTATTTAGCTGTCTGCAAGGAAGGAAATAAATCTTAAAAGCAAAGGTCACTTTAACTTTTGTGAATTGTAAATATTTTATAATTGTTTACTTTTAATTAATGTACCAACATATATAAAATATGTTTGTCATCTCTTGATTAAAAACATTGAATCAATCATATCCACCTAGTCAGAAACAAGAGGAAAAACAAAATGTCAAACCCACAAATTTTCAACCCATCAACACATATACTATTAATGTCCAACCTCATCCGCAGCTAACTGGTATACACACCTCCACCTGAAGAAGGGGCCGGCGGTGGGGCTGACGAGGCAAACGGATCACCCCCTAAATCCCCAAGAAGGTCCATGGTGGTTGAGCCTGATGACTGTGACGATTGGCTCTGTTGCCCTGGCGACTGGAATGACAGGTCCTGTTTTGGGGTGGGGGTGGGCTGTGTGGGCGTAGGTACTGTGATGGGACCCGGAGTTGTCTGTGGCTTTGCTGGCTGTGCCTGTAATGACAAAGGATGAAATCGGGTAACCAAATAAAGTCAACTGATAAATGATCTATTTCTTGGTTACCCTGACTTATCTACATCTAAGAAGCAAAACCTTATAATGCCCTATTGATGTTCTTTTTCTAATGAATATGTTGAATTAGCATTTAAAATTTCATAGATGCTTTTCGTTTGAGCTTGGGAGAACAATTTGGCCCAAAGAAATCATTACGTGGCATGTATGAGGCCACTAAAATTGTCTGTTACTTTTCTCTTCTACATTAAATTTTGTTTTCTGAACTGATCGTCCTTGTTTGACTTCCACCCTTCTATAACATTATTTTGTCAATGGGCCATTACACCATAAACAAATAAATAAATCGTATATTGAAGAAAATACATGAAATTTTAACTGCACAAATTAGTCCCCTTTTATACAGTAGAGTAGAACTGTTGCTTATTGACAGTGTTGCAAAAACTTTACTCAGGAAAAGTATCTCAAGCCTGCTTGTGCTATATCTTCAATTAAAAGACCACCTGTGTTAAGAGACCACTTTTAATGTTCCCAATCAATATTTTTGAAACTGAACCTGTATCAAGAGACCACATGTGCTTAGGAAACATTTTCTGACCTTCCCATGCATGGACCCTTCATACAGTTTTGACAGTACTGACATAGCTGCAACCATCAAGGAAACTTGTATTCAGTGACAGAACTATTTCCTGCACCATTTATCAAAATACATAGAAGTTCATAATTAGCAAAATTATCTAAACTAAAAAGGACCAACTGTAAATTTGTATTGTTAAGGTAACAATGCAAACATTATGCTTCCATTTTTGTTAATGGAGTATTTGCTCAATTTTTTCCTGTTTACATTGTTGAGGCAGACAAAATGAAAAAAACCATATATACAATTAGAATGTCTAGTCATGTATCAATTTAATGCATTAGTGTGTATTTCACACACTATACATCTTTGTGCTGTAACTTTTCATTTCCTTGTCTTTTTTACTACAGCACTTCTCACTTCGTCAAAACAAAATTAATGACCCAATACTTGTGGTAAATCACGGCGGAGGGTGATAAAATATCACGCATCATGTCAAAACAACCCTTGTTAATGTACCATGTAATATACAGTTTGCATAGAAACATTACCCAAACAAAAAGCTAACCAAACTTTGACTGTCCCATAATCGATCTTTAGTTTACTTAATGTATTGTTAGCTTATAATCATGATATTTTAATAAAAACATTTACTCATGCAAATTAATTTGATAATTTCATTTTACAGACATGAATTATGCATGCTTGAAACATGTATAAAAGTACATGTACATATTAATTAACAAAAATATTATGTTGTCTATCTTTGAGGAAGATATCATGTATAAAATACAAAAAGTATCAGCTTCTGTCTGTTATTGGTTCTTTCACCCTTTACTTTGGGTTTATAAGTGACAAAGAGATTTACATAGCTATATACAAGGTGTCAGAATATTCATATAAATCACAATTTATTAACAAATCTTATACACAAGAAAATCTAAATTATAGCATCGCATACTGAATTTCCATATTGTTAATTTTTAATATCAAAACAAGCGAAAACTGACTGGAATTTTGACACACAAATACAGGTAACTATACGAGTGACATCAGCACACAGGTGACCCAGCTTGACCTCGGTGCATCCTTTACATATATGTCAACAGCGTGACATAAACCCCGATTTATGCGTACACATACCAAGAAAATAACCGCACAGCATTCTTAATGTGACAAAACTTGAGCGATTGTTGTTTATACTGGGGGAAAACATGTTACGTTTACGCGAATTATTTATCAATCTTATTAATGTTTCAGATACTAATTATATCCTTTATGACATTGTTGACAACTGGTATAGAGTTCTAATAGTCTTCTCTGTAATTCTGAAATGTTACCACGAATGTCTTGATGCCTTCATTAGTTAGGCAGACTCAACGTAATCTAGAATAATTAATTATCTGTTTATGAACGCGTACGCAGTGGTACAGTATAAACAGTCCATGAATGTACGTCAGCAGGGCGATTAAAAACACCCAATGACGTTTCTATAAAGTAAGCAGGAGATGTTTTTGTTAATACATTTAAGTTTTCTAATTTCTGATGACATGTCTATTTCCATGTTGATTACACTGCAGCCATGTGGTCATTAGACATAAAACACTACCACTGTAGTTTTCAAGACCAATTATATGCATCACTTCCCTTAAACCACACCAGCCCTCGGCAAAGGTTTGCTGTGAGTAACCATCATATGAATGTTAAATGTATAAACATATAAAGTAATTAGTAGTAGTTGCTAGTGTCAGCAGAATTTACAGGTAGCTATAGAAATGATCACTACAGGTGGTAGGTGGTCACTATTGACAATAGAAACATGACTATAGACAGGTAAATGGTCACTTTAGAGAGACAGAATGATCATTATAGACAGGTAGAAATAATTATAATTAACAACTAAGCATGTCAATAATGATTATTTCTACCTGTGTAAAAGGAACATATATCAATCTGTATTGATCATGACTACCTGTCTATAATGATCATTCTATCTCCGTATAGTAACCATTTGACTTTTGAAATATGATGAGTTCACTATATGAAGAAAGGAATACTTTACACAGGTAGATGTTTTTGATATAAACATATGTAGGTTCATCTAGGTGTGTTCACTGCATACAGACAAAATTGGAAAAACAGGCAGAGGTGGTCACTATAGACAGGGAGTTGTCTACACAATCATAGGGACAAAGACAGGCAGAAGTGGTCACTATAGACAGGGATTTGTCTACACAACCATGGACACAATAGACAGGTAGAGGTGGTCATTATAGACAAGGAGTTGTCAACACAATCATAGGGACAAAGACAGACAGAGGTGGTCACTATAGACAGGGATTTGTCTACACAATTATAGGGACGAACACAGACAGAGGTGGTCACTATAGACAGGGATTTGTCTACACAATTATAGGGACAAAGACAGGCAGAGGTGGTCACAATAGACAGGGATTTGTCTACACAATCATAGGGACAAAGACAGGCAGAGGTGGTCACTATAGACAGGGATTTGTCTACACAATCATAGGGACAAAGACAGTCAGAAGTGGTCACTATAGACAGGGATTTGTCTACACAATCATAAGGACAAAGACAGTCAGAAGTGGTCACTATAGACAGGGATTTGTCTACACAATCATGGGGACAAAGACAGGCAGAGGTGGTCACTATAGACAGGGATTTGTCTACACAATCATAGGGACAAAGACAGGCAGAGGTGGTCACTATAGACAGGGATTTGTCTACACAATCATAGGGACAAAGACAGGCAGAGGTGGTCACTATAGACAGGGATTTGTCTACACAATCATAGGGACAAAGACAGTCAGAGGTGGTCACTAAAGACAGGGATTTGTCTACACAATCATAGGGACAAAAACAGGCAGAGGTGGTCACTATAGACAGGGATTTGTCTACACAATCATGGGGACAAAGACAGGCAGAGGTGGTCACTATAGACAGGGATTTGTCTTCACAATCTTAGAGACAAAGACAGGCAGAAGTGGTCACTATAGACAGGGATTTGTCTACACAATCATGGGGACAAAGACAGGCAGAGGTGGTCACTATAGACAAGGATTCATATACAGCAAAATCATATGGTTAAGAAAGTCAGCTCATCTCTATTAAGTAGACTTGGACTATCAATGATGGAATTTGACCCTTCAGGAAGGAAGTGTTACAAAAACAACTGTCATGTTGAACATGTTTTTTAAAGACTTAATCACTTTTAGGAAGGAAGACGAGCTATGAATGTATCATATTGCTTAGATACAAGCACTATTTATAGGGCAGAGTAGAACACAGCCCTGTAATCCATCTATAGCAGTAAGATATCTTAGGCCTTTAACTTGTTGAATGCCACCCTGTAGGAATTCAGACGTCAGACAATGTCACTGAGGCCCTTCACACAAGATGTGACTGTCCGCCATTAACAACCAACAATTAAATGTACATACAGCTCTGTAAGCTAAAGGCATTGACCTGCAGACCCCCTTATAGAAGTAATGTCTATCCCTGTCTTCAAGACATATATACTCAATGTACAGGAGAAAAGAGGTGGAAGACAAATCATACACATAAAGAAACAGCTAGATTCAGGGTTTAACAACATGTTAATTGGAAAAAGTTGTACATGTATTAGCAAAATTCTAAAAAAGATTTAAATCAGTCAAAAGGCTGAAAATATTCATCACTGTATTAGATAATCAGAACATCAAAGGGATAAACTGAATAGTGAATGCTGTTACTAATCAGATTTACATTATTTTCATCTCAAAATCAAAATATTGGAACAATTAATCACGACTACTTTTAGATTTTACTGAAATGAGAAAATCATCGTAAATAAATATTTTCCTACCTCTTCCAGATCCATGATGATAAGAGATTTCTCCTTCCAGCTCGCTTTTGGACGCGGCCTTGAGTATTTTGAAATGTTGTCAGATCTCGCATTTATAACAACCATATTGACAGCTTTTTTGGGGGGGGAGAATTATCACAATCAACAATAATGCAACGACAACAACAAATGTCAAGGTTCTATTTCTCTAAAATGTGATCATAGATACAGAATCGAGATTCCTTCTCTGAAATATTCTTCCAAATGAAATATTCAGTAAAAATGTATAAATCTGTTGCTACAACGAAATTGTGTAACAAATTCCTTTGTTTGGTCTACAATCTGTCAATGTCTTTGTACTCTCCCAGGAAAAGACAGGAAGAAGGTATTCTCCGTCCAGGTGAGTCTTTGTCTATGGAACAACAGCGGATTTTGTCCTTTGTGTACCCGTTTGGTCCTCCCAGGCCTGGCACAAATCACATCTGGTGCTACGAATTCTCTATCACATCCAATACCCAATATACTGTACAAGACACACTTGATGTGTTACCGGCCGCTCT